CCCCAAAACCCCAAAACCCCAAAACCCCAAAACCCCAAAACCCCAAAACCCCAAAACCCCACTCCTTTTATTTTATTGAAGAGTGACTTGAATTAATTGCTCAAGACTATTATTTCATCATCTGGTTAGAGGTAGTCGCGCCTGCAGCCCCAGTAGGATTACGATCTGCTGCTATTGGCAAGAACAATTTGAACTCTGGTGGCAATTCATCTTCAGTGTATAGTCTGTCTGAGAAGTATATTCTTCTGATTCTGCAGTTTGCATGGATTTGCACTCTAAACAAGTAGCATTAGTCAATCACTCCGGAGTCTCAATCTCTTACCTCAGAGTCTCAATGTAGTTAGTTCCATAGGCCCTTCTTGTGAAGTCTGACAAGTTGAACTGAATCTGATTCCAACCTTCATCTAATCTCATGGGCATGGTGCAGATGAATGGTTTGACTCTAGTTGTACTCTACAATGTTACACTAACAAGTTACCTGATAGTTGGATGCCCTGAACCTTCTTCTAACTTCCTTGTCGTCAAGCACCTGGACTTCGAAGGTAAAATATTTCTTTAACTATAGACTCAGTTAGCATGAATTCATATGAATAATGAATAATCAAATTGACTCTTGACTCACGTTCTTGATAATCATAACAAGGAAAGGAAGCTTGATTCCCAAAGTCTTCTTCTTATCACTTGGGCACTCAATGAAAGTGGTCGAGACGTTAGTTCCCATGATTTCTAATACAGATGATTGGATATCAGCATCAGTAATTCTCTTGATATGCCCATTCCTGACTTTCTTGTTCCATATTTGGAGAGGTTTGGCTCTAAATCATTGTTTACACACTGAGTAGGAAATAGAAATTTTAATATCGTCAATATAGCAATAGAGCTTTCCCATTGAATAATATTTCTTACCCAATGGAGTACAGGATCGACAGGAACCCGGACTGGAAGGTATTTTGAAACATATTTAAATTTTATGTTATAATATTTTATTCAAAATAAAATTCTTAGACGGGGTTTTGGGGTTTTGGGGTTTTGGGGTTTTGGGGTTTTGGGGTTTTGGGG